GCTCTGTCAGGGCCCGGCCACGGCTCAGGCAGCCACAGGGAGCAGGCGAGACGCCCCACGGGGAGCAGTTGCCCCATTGGACCTCAGGCAGGTGTTTCTCTGTGGCCCCTGGGCGAGGCCCCTGGGCCCTGGCTCCTGGCACCGGGAAGGCTCTGTCCTGAGTGACCCGCCTGCCGCCCCCAGCACTTGGCCACGTTCATCATGGACAAGAGCGAGGCCATCGTGTCCGTGGACGACGCCATCCGGAAGCTGGTGCAGCTGAGCTCCAAGGAGAAGATCTGGGCGCAGGAGATGCTGCTGCAGGTCAACGACCAGGCCCTGCGGCTGCTGGACATGGAGTCGCAGGTGGGGCGCCGGGCGGGGTGGGGCCAGGGTGTGTGTGTGTGTGTGTGTGTGTGTATGGAGGGCAGGCTGGCAGGGAGCACTGGCCGGGGAGGGTCCAGGCAGCCACATCACACAGGGCTGCCTCCTCTGCAGGGGCCTGTGGCTCAGGAGTTGAGCTTCTACCCAAGAACCCAGGGGTCACTGGTTCGATTCCCGGTCAGGACACAGGCCCCGGTTGTGGGCTCGATCCCCAGTGTGGGTTGTGCAGGAGGCAGCGGACGATGTTCCTCTCGCTCCTCCTCCCTTCTTCTCTAAAATCAATAAAAACACTTTTTTTTAAAGAGTCTGTACACAGGCTGTGCCCCACCTGGGCCGCTGGGTCCGGGGGTCTGTGTACATCTGTGGCCACTGCTGCGTGGAGCCCGCCTCTGGGCCGCGTCCCTGTTCGGTGCCTGCGAGTTATGCTGGGGCTGCGTCCGTGGCACCGGCTGCATGTGCTGGGCCCACATGTCACACCCACGCCCGTGGCCTGTGTGTTCCTCGGGTCCAGCCCGTGTTTGAGCCCCGTCTGGGGCTCACGGCTGTGCGACCGGCTGTGCGACCGGCTGAGCCCTGGTCTGAGCCCCCTTGTCTCCCAGGAGGAGCTGGAGAACTTCCCGCTGCCCACCGTGCGGCACAGCCAGACGGTGCTGAACCAGCTGCGCTACCCGTCGGTGCTGCTGCTCGTGTGCCAGGACTCGGAGCAGAGCAAGCCCGACATCCACTTCTTCCACTGCGACGAGGTGGAGGTGAGTGGGCTGGGGGCGTGGGGAGGAGGTGGGCACCTGGGGGGGA